GTTTATTGTTTATCTTTTGTTTATGAGGCAGTATTCAAGTTTAATTACTACTCTAAATTAAACTCTAACTGGCATCAGGAGACATCCCTTTACATGACTAAGTCAAAAAAAAAAAATCTAGAAATCTCAACTCCAGGCTTTTCAAGTAAGTTGATACATATAGGAAGAAATTACTCAAAATTAACAGCAATTATAGAAAGCTTTTAAGCATTTATGGGCACCATTACATGCTCCTAGAGCATTTATTTATTAGAAGAGTTTAATTTTATTTCTAATGGTTGCTATTCTAAAACGTTTTAAGAAAATCAACAGAAATTATTTGGATGTTGGCTGATGATTAAGGAGAGTATTCCTTTTGATTTTATTTGGGGAGCCAAAAAAGTATGAAAATGCAACATAAATATCCTATAATACAACAGCTTCTTCTGTGCCAATGTTCAATTCTCAATTATATTCTCAGTGAATTTTCTGATACAATTAGGAGGACAGGAAGGAAAAGAAATGTCACCATATTTATCATAACAGTAAGTGACCAGTTTTGGATGAACTTAGCTCTAGGAAAAATAAAAGTTAAAAGCAACTAGCAAAAGATTATGCCAGATGGCATCTGTCATATTGTATTTAGGGTTATTTTAAAGAGATTGCCGCCACTATGAAAACATTCCATTGACAGAGTTTTCCTAGACTGAATAAGAAATCCCACTAGAACATATTCAGGACCCACTATAAGTGGGTTTGAGGGTTCCCTCCCATCTTTTAACTATATAACTGGAATACTTGGTGGCAAAGAATACTATTTCATGCATTATGTAATAATTCAACAGGGTAAGCCTGTGTTAGACTTTTGCTTACCTATAATCATTTACGTTAAATCTATAGTGGGTATTTTTAGATTTCAAAACCATGATTGCGAAAGAACTGCATAATATCTAGTTAGGGAATTTTAGTCTCATTGCCTGGATAATAGAGACATCAAAAGAGAGGTTTCATAGGTGGCAGAGTTGAGGGGAACTGTGCTGGTCTGTACAGCCCTGTGTCTTGAAAGATGAGAGATGCATTGATGCTTAAATACTAATGGATTTAGGTTAAACTGGCTCTGGCAACAGTATGGTTAACGTGCGTGTGGTGTGCAGTGTGAGCTCAGCAGTTACTGGGCCAACTGTCTCGGTATTTCTGGGAATCCTGCCTATTCACAGTGCAGGGATTGTTCAATTGCTGCAAAATGTACAAAATGAATTTTACAAAAATGAATTGTAAGGAAGGCCCCATTACAACGATTTTACAGCAAAGATGTCAACATCAATTTTTCTTTCATGCCTAGCTAATGATTAAAACAGCATATTCCATTTGCCTAAGACAATTTATTTCATATTGGCACATCAAAATATTGAAATACAAAGTTATCTTTACTCTGCCCTTTTTATTCACTGCTGCTGAACCCATACTATTGTTCAAATCCGGAAAAAATAAAACAAACTTGGCACGAAATACTTAAAACAAAGGCTCATCAATATTCTCCAATTTGTCAACATCTCAATTACAGCACTGGAAAAAATGTAAATTTCATGTGCTCTAAACACTGAGGGGTCTATTCTCCTGCCAATTCACATGCGTAACTCCCATCAGCGTTAATGGGAGTTACACAAACCCATCAATAATAATAATACTTTGTACATATATTGTGCCTTTCATCTAAGGCTCTCAAAGTGCTCCAAGAACAAGGGGGCTGCTTCCTAGTCTTTACTCTGGGCAAAACCCACAATGAAATACAAAGCAGCTTTTGACTCAGCAGGTACAGAATTAGGGACCCCACGCCTTATTATCAAGCCCCATTTTATTACTGATGGGAAGCCAGACACAAAGAGGGCCAGTTACTTCCCCAGAGACCCAGTCTGCACCCTAATTCTATCCCTGAAAAATAAAACAGACTTTTTTCTTCATTCTCATGTGACTAACAAGATAAACTCCATTTGGCTGCTTTTAGCCAAAGAAATCAGAGCGAATGAAAGTCTGGTTCATATTTATGTAGTTTACTGCTAGGCATGTGCTGTGTGAAAGAGACAGTAAAGTCAGGTTTCACATTTTATCAAGTTTGTTTCTTACAATATTTTTAAAATTTGATTCCTCCCCCCCTTTTGGTTTGCTGCACAAACACGGAGGAGGAAAAGATGACCTTTCACCTGTGTAACTGTAGCTCTTTCCCTATCAAGTCATAAAATAATGAGATATTATTAGGTTCCAAAGTAAAGGTTCATATGAATCATTTTAGTAGAAATATTCCCCAAATCATAAAGCAACATAAATGCATGTATTGTTTTATAGCATATGGCTATTAAAGTTTAATTTAAAATGTGTATGAAAACATTGTCTTTAGTACAATTCATCCCTATTTTTTCTGTTTATCATAATTTGTTTTGAAACTGAATCATTTTACAGTTTTCCATATGCCTGTTGTGCTAATAAATTCTGAATAAGCAAGAAAACTCTTTTCTAAACTAAAAATCTTGGTTCCCAATGAAACATTTTAATACATTTAATATGAAGAACATAAATTTCCTTCTTAGGCTTTCCATTAAACGTCAACCCTAAGATTTAACCTGGGATAAGCATATGTGATTTCAGTCAATATCTCTGTTGACTTTGCCCTGAAGCAGATAATTAATCTTTCCCATTGAAAGCTACTCTGGACAATTTGGTGGGACAAAATATCTTGAAAACACATTTAAAAGACTAATATGGGCACGAGTATGACAAAATACACTCAGGTCTGACCTTCGAAATTTAGAATCTTTGGTAAAATACAGAATGTCTTTCAACCCGTGTTTCACAGCCACTGATGTCAGCCAGGTAGCAATTTCTCCATGCCCATAGAGTCTCCATTTTCCAGGAATCAAAATGTTTTTTTGTCCCTCACACTTTAATACAGTAAAATGACTGACTTCCTAGTACTCAAACACATAAGCTACCATGTCCATTCTTTAATCCCATGGAGATATGATTAAAGGAACAAAATCCTATGGGGATCAAATCCTTCAACATGGCATCACTGGGTGTGGCTAACCACAACATAGAGGTTTGTGCGTATGGTTTTTACCCAACTGTATCAGTCTCAGTGCCTTTCTCTTTCCTAACAAAAACAAAAGCAAAAAACAACAAGCCAGCAAAATTAACCAAAATGATAAAACTCTATGCCTTGGCTGTGGCCGCAACTGTTCAGCGTTCCAAACCCCAGGGTCGTCCTTCCCTGCCTCTCCTTCTCTCTGGTCCCCTCCTGCCATCTCGCTGGCCATAACTCAACCAACCCAACTGAACCAGTCAGTTTTAAATTTCAGTTGGGACCTTGGTGACCTGTTAATGAATCTACAGAGAGGAGAAAAACTCACAGTGTTGAGTTATGCCTGGTGTTGCTAGCTGACTTGGAGTCAGAAATGCTTGAAGCGTTAACGTAATTGCAAGAATGTGAAAAATGAAGCGCTGGGCTCCTGAGCAAAGTGAAAGGTCAAAGCGAGCCTCACACACAACAAGTCTTTGGAAGATAGCCTCATTAGACCATTAAGTCTGCTTCTCCTTTCCCCCTCTCTTGTACCATGTTTAAGGTGTTTTGTTTTTATTAATAGATACATTTCCCCCTTTGTGGCACAGTGACTTGGGGTGGTGGGGGGAGAGGAGTCTTAGAAAGCTTTTCAGATTTAACCACACTGAGAAGTCTTTCTTCAAGACACAGAAAAACAATTAAAGCCACTGCATTAGAGATTCACTGAATTTATATATATTTCATCTTCAAAATGCTTTATAGTTTAGTTTTCTTACATACAACCAAAGTGATCTAATAAAAAACAGTACAGAAAGTCTAAATAGATACAGTTCACCAGTTCTTCCACAATTTACCATCTGATAGTATTCATTTCTGTGTTAGTTGCAGCTTGCTTAAACCTAGATTCTAAGTTGGACCCATTCACAACTTAACATCCTAGAAGGGACACTTCTCTAAACTCTTCTAGAATACTAGGAATCCAAAATCCATGACCAGGAACTTGGAAATATAAAGGCACTCACCCTACATCAACCATCATTTTTTAAATGGCATATATGACTACAGCTCAAGCTGTTAAACTGTCCTCCACTTGGAAGACTGTCTAATGCTTAAATATTGTGGCCATAAACACAGTCATAATAGAGATGAAATAGACCTAGGAGATCAGACACCATCTAATGTAAAATATTAAAAAGTAAAATCTATATACTTTCCTGGCCCACATTCAATATGCATCTTCTTTTAAAAAATAATTTTAGCCATAGAAGAGTCAACCCTACCAATATATAATTGCTCTCTGTGCAATAGGTGGGTCTTAAATGGTAAAATTTATTTAAATGACTCTAGGCTTCCTTGTCATCTATAGTTGATGTCCCCCTTGCCTTCTGATTATTTGAATTTTTACAATTTGTGACAAAAGTCTCACCATGGCAGCTGAATAGAAATGGGGACAAATAATCTAAGAATTTCAAAATCTATCTTCCCAAAATATAATTCCATATAAAATTTGCGTGGCACTTTGGAACTAATAAGAACAGATTTTTGCATCATGTGTAAGCATGTACAGGCATCATTGCTTGATTATAGAAAACCCTTATAGTTGATTTACAAATAAAATATCCCATTTATAGTATAATTCAATCTACTGCATCACAGAAGCAAAGATCTGTCATTCTATTTACTTATACCCAGGAGAAAAGAGGAGATAACCAAATTTGTTAAAGAATTGGCAGAACTAATCGATTGTTATTGCAATGCTTGCTTAAAGATTAGACAACTCTTTTTGTTTTGCTTTTGGTGAGTAATATAAGTTAAGGGAAGGAAATACTGTCTCCCTAAATATCGGCCATTTATACTCCCTAACCTGCAACTCTACTGTTTACAGTGAGGCTGATGTACCAATATAAAATACTGATGTTATTTCAGTCATGCCCACTTTGCACAAGGAAAATCCTTGACTTTTTACCTTGCTCACTGCTGTTGTCTCCACTCTGGGACGCATGGCCCCCACTGGAGGGCCCCGGGGTGCCTGCTGAATGGGTGGAAGTTGCATCATCGTGGTCTCGCCAAGATGCAGGATTCTGATGTCAGGAGGCCAAGGAATTTTTCCACAGTTACCATTTCAGCCATAAATGACGAACCAAGGCGAAAGGTGCAGAGAGAGGCAAAAAAACATGTACATATTAGTATTTGTGGAACTAGGCATATATAGATGCCATGTTACAGTATGTTGTCTTTTCAGCAATAGGTACCGAAAGGAAGAAAAGGTGCACTAGAATCATGATGAAGTGATAGTTATGTCAGTTTACATATTTGTTAAAACCAATTGAAACAGATGCCTTAAAATGGATGCATTTTATTATATACAAATTATACTTCAATAAAGTGAATTTTTAAAGTTAGAAAAAAAAGCCTCCTTAAAAATCTAAAAGTTTGCTCTTTAATTAATTATGGCACACTCTTCCAAGAAATAGGTCCCAATGCTGTTGGATACCAAACACTTCAGAATATTAACACATCTACAAAACTCAACAACTCCCTTAAAAATTCAGATTGGAGAATGTATGGGACAGCCCTTCATATCAAATGCATTGCCCTAAAAGGGACTGAATTAACTCTCAAAATTATTGTCAACTGATTATATCATTAACAAAGACAATAATATTAATCATTGCATAAATATCTTCCTTGCTGTTTAATGTGTGCAAACGACAATCAGAAAATGAAACAACTATGAACTGTGATCCACCTAATAAACTAGAGGGGACTTCCTTTAGAGCTGCAGGGAAGGTTTAAAGCCACAGAACAGGGCTTTTTCCTGAAAGAACTGCTCATTTTAAAGGACATGTAAGGTAAGCCGAGAGTTATAGTTCATGCTACTTTGCTGAGTGTATTCTTCTCCTGTTCCTCCTCCCCTTTCCTGATCAGTCCCAATACCCTGCTGTCGCTTAAAGGAAAACAGGAATTCTAATGTACAGGAAGGACTTTATCAGCACCACATGAAGGCAGGCAAGAGATGGAATTTCCTCTGGCAGAAACAGAGAGTAGGAACAACATATGAAACAGACCAGCCTTAAGGTCAGAGTTGTACACTTGTCACCTGTGTGCGATAGCTTCGACTAAGCCCACAGATCTACTGGCAAGCAAATCTGTTGGGGGTGGTGGGGGTGGGGGGTGCAGTACTTTGACAGCAAAATTAAAAGCCCGTTAGTCCCTCAAAGTACACTATTTCTTCTGACAAGAATTGGTAACTAAGGACTCAGACAGACTGACATGTCTATAGGCAACATGCTAACATCTTGACCACTTGAAGACAATCTTGCCCTGTTGTCATTATATATAGTTTATCCAGAAAAAAAGGTCAGTCTATCTTTTTCTCAACCTCAACCCTATGTACAAAGAGAATGTAAAACTTCACCAAAATAAAGTTAAGAAACAAAAGAGAGAAAAAAATAAAGAACTATTCTCATTTGAAACAGCAACAAAAAAAAATTTGTTTGCCTCTACAGATCTGTCTCAAACCACTTTAAGTTCATATTTAGCATTTTTGATAGATGGTGAAATGTCCCAAAGTTCTAGAGATTAATAACATCTCTATCAAATAAAGCTGTTGGCACTGCTGTCAGGTAAGCCACTGATTCAAAGGCAAAACATTAAGCAGAAACTTTGTGACTGTAAGTACTGCACAGGTATATATATATCTAAAGTAAAGATACATTTTTTAAAGTATTGATAGATTTGGGGACAAAGTTGAACAGAATAAAACGAAAACCAAGGTTCTGCTGCTTATATGAAGACAAAGTTATGCCTATGATGTTTTTTATCTAAGTTCGAAACTCTTCCAATAGTTTCTAGCTAAAAGCAAATAGAATGCAGGGGTTCTTCAAGCTTTGCAGACTCTTCGAGTCAGCTGTTTGCTGGATGGTAATCAGATAAAGAGCTAGAAGAATTACAAGAAAAAAAGAAAGAAACAATAGCATGGCATGAATTTAGTCTTGCAACAACACTGGCTAAAGCCTTCTTTTAGAAACTGCAATAATAGTCACCTAAGCTAAACTTTTCAGTTAAACTTTGCATCACCAAAACAGCAAGTGATGTGAATTTTATGCACTGCACGCTTTTTATTAAGCTGGCGGCTATAAAAGCTCCTTACCCCTCATGAAAATTACAATAATAAACTACTAACACCTCAACTATGTTTTAAGGCAAACGTCATCTAACAGCTATTACATAATCGTTCAAATGAAGCTCCAGCGAGTCTTTCTGTATGGACATGAGAGTGATTTCAAGGGATCACTCAGAAGGAACTTCTTGCAATGGAAAGCACTGTCTTGTCCTTATCAGTCAAACCTGTACTGAGCTTTAAAGTTTATAACTCAGTTGATTACCTTCCCTGGTTTTTTGGAGGAGGCGGTCTCTAAACTAAAGGGGTGAAAAATAAGCCACGTAAACAAATAATGCTTTTAGAGCAGCTAGTTCCTCCAAATCAGTTGGGTCTTGGGTTTTCAGCTCAGTCCTGAAGTTTGCTCAAGTTCACTTTCACTATATAACCCACCATGCCCGTCTCTTCCCCCTTACCTTCCTCACATCCTCAAAGATGCTGTCCTACAAGCGTCACACGGTGTTTATCTCCATAGTGTGTTTCAAGTACTATGATCTACTTTGCAAGACTGACACAAACTAGTACCAGGATATTCATCTAACTTGAAAGGAGGAAAAACAGCTGAATCCCTCTGGGGTTTGAAAGTTGAAGAGTTACCCCAAAGTTGTCTGTATTCAGCTACACCACAGTGACGTGGTCAAATACAAATATAAATATTGATAATCTGGTCAATAAAAATTGCTTTCTCCTTGATCACAAAACATTGGAAGCAACATGGATAGCTACAATATAGTCCTTTACACATAAGATTGGTTTGTTCTTAGACTGAAGTATTTGTTTGTATCACAACTCCTTTCTTCTTCTTTTCCCTCCCTAGATAGTTTCCAAGTTTACATCCTTCAAGAATAACTGCTTGGCTTTCTGCCAAATTATATGCAGAAGTTTAGTGAATCTTGAAACCAAAGTGGCATATGAAAGCATGTAAAACACAGGACGTACTTAGAAAAATAAAGAGCGTGTATGTGTGTGGGAGAGGAGTCAGCTAGGTGCATTCCACAATATATGTCCTGCTCTTCAGCCCCAGGTATCATGAAGACATTCGAGGGCAAGGAAGAGACATGTTTCTATTCCCAGGGGCTTTCATAATTAGGAGTCAAATACAGTACTCTTCTTGCTCTTACGTAATTGCATTAAAAAGCAGTGTTAGCAGGAGAAAAGCAGTGAATACTGACTGGAGCACAATGGAAGGAGATGGAAAATAGATACAAGAAGCTAGGTCTCCAGGGGCAGTATTTTCTATTTGCTGGGCTACAGACTCACAGCTGATAATGCAAGTTGTAATTAATATAAAAGCAGGAGACAAGATGGGAAGAGCTTGTAGTAGCGGGGCCACAAGAGATCACTCTGCAGCTCGCTCTGTTTCTCATTTACACACAGCTTTCCCTAGAAAACACAATTCTGCCAGTGTTTCCTCCCTTGGAAGTTAAAAAAAAAAATTTGATTTAGCACCATCACTGAATTTTGCTAAATCGCGGAAAGAGCATAGGGCGGACAGGCAGCTCTGGGCAGAAAAAGCAAATCCTCCATGCACCTCTTTTGTTGAGGCTGTAGAGATGGGGGACATGATAATGTTTTACACCATTTTGGCACTTCTGGGGGAGACCTGCGGATAGGATACTATTTAGTAATTCCCAGCGAATTGGTGGTATTTCCCTGTTGAAATGATTCCACCCAGCTCATGGTTCTTCTGTTGAAAAAGACAATGACGTAAAATGGGTAAGTGTTTCTGACTACAAAACTGAATGGGGAAGTGAAAAGTATTAGGTTTCCAAGAGTTAAAAAAAGAAGCCACACCACACACAAGTTCGACCTCAGATCATCTGAAACTCATCTTAGACTCCAAATGAAGAGGTGATGCAATGGATGTGGTGTAGGAGAAAGAACCCTAGATTAGAATTAAGACTCGAGGGTGCCACCTCCAACTGTCACATGACCTCAGGTGATGCACTTAATTTCCCTGGAACTTGTTTCCTTTCTCTCTTTAAAATTAAAAAGTCAGACAAAATAATCCCTAAGGTCACTTCCACTTCTTATTTCTATTATTTAAAAAATACTTCAAGCATTTGATTTTCTAGAACCTACAAAACTAAAACACGATATAGAACACCAAGCCAAAAATTATACAAGAACTTGGAAAATACTGTAAAGTAATTCAGAATATGTGTTTGTAGGTAGAAAGTAAGAATAAACATATATAAAGATATTTAATCAGCACATGGAGCATGCAAAACCAATTTGACTCGAGATGTTCAAATGACAAAGTCAAGATATGTTCGCATCAGTACACATAATTAAGGTAACTTACAAATTTCCTATGATTTTAAGATGTTTTCACATCTCAACAGTTAACATTGTGCGAAAATCATTTTTAAAAATAAGAGGAAGACACCTATCAAGAAGTAGTCAAACCTACAAAAGTTCAAGACGTTAATTGTGCAATTTGAAAAAAATGTTGGAATTTCAATTTCGTTATTCTAAAGTTGACGTAAGAACTCAGGAGAACTGTGCGTGCTTTCAGAAGGTGGACTCACTCTTTAAAAATGTAAATAGAACCAGGGTCTTTCCCTCATCTCCCTGCTTCCACCCTCTATTAAGCTTTGAGAATTAATACGTGAGCAACTCTCATGGAAGTGGCAAACACTCTTTGCAAATGATTCCTCCTCTGATGGAGCAACTTTTAGAGAAGATAGAAATTTCTTATACTATTAGCGTACTGTCAAGTTATAAAATGTCTCCTGTAATTTTGAAATAGGATATTGTATAGAATGTTAAGCCTGAAAAAAAAAATGAGAAAATGAATTTTTAAAATATCAAACTTTTCATCTGATAGTGGATATCTGTGGTTGTCAAGTGCACCTTTGTTTAATTTCATCTCATTGCAGTTACTCTGAAAGCATACTCCAACTGCACAACCTACATGATTTCACTAACATAATTATTCTCGATGGTAAATTAACAGAAAAGCCATCAATATACAACAACAACAGAAAACTTATGCCCCTGGCCACATCTCTGGGAGTTGGTGGACAGGGCTCAGAGGTGGAACCTTCCTGAAATAGGTCCCCCAAGACCTTGCATAACATACCGTGAGGTCTAATCTTACACCAGAATGTAAGAGATTATCTGATAAAATAAATCATTCATATTATTAATGTTATTTTCACATCCCAATATCTCCTCTTGTATATTCTATAGACCAATCACTTAGACTGCTCTCTCTCCTCACTGCCCATTCCCTGATGATTTTTCAGACACTTGCCTGTATTCTGTCAGGAACGAGGTTCAGGGGATTCTCCCCTTTGACTTAACTCAATTTTTAAAAACTGTGTAGACATAAACAAATTTGACACATTCAGAGATGTGGAAGAAAACAACAGCATATCTTCACTTAAATTACAGCTTTCAAAATAAAAATTTAAATAATTTTTCTTTTATTACTCAGCTTATCAGAGCCAGTCAGTTTTTAGGCACCTGCCATTAATTTTTAGTAGATACAATTGCATTTTCTCCCCATACTTAATTCATCCAAAAAACAAATACAGTGCAATTTCTTAAGCACATTATAGCAATAACTATATAACTATGCACTTTCAGGCAACAAATATAATTCATTTATCTAAACTTGATCTAAAGATATGTAATATCTTTATATGTAAATAGAAAGATATATTTCATTTGTCTGCTCTCGATCTAAAGACTTGATGTACAATTATGTAAAGTAGATAATGTGGACATCACCTATTATTCAGAAACACTACAGACTAGGAAAAGCATAATCATGCCACAACAGTTTTCAAGTTTAAACTTTTTTTTCAAGAAGTAGTTTCTTGACAAGTTTATTTGAAAAAATAAATAAATTTGAATGCCTAGGAAACTTAACAAGAACTGCAGATGGAAAATGGAGTTCTATTTCTTTTCCCCATTATATTTTCCTCCCCAATATTCCAAAGAATACTATAACACTTACTGGTAGCTGTTTCCTACCTATAACAATTACTCTTATATGATAATAAAAGTATAAGATGAAATCTTTATAATATTAAAAATATTAGCAAGCATTCACTATGAATCTCCTAAACATTGTAGCGCATGCTGCAACTTTTATTTTCTATTCAATTCCAAACTTTTTTTATTAGTATGCCCATCATGTAAGTGTCAATAGGAAACGAACAAATGAATTTAATGTATGGAAGGTAAGATATTATGGCAGTCTTCCATTCATGCATCTATGTTACATCAGAATATTTATAGAATATTATAGAATGTGAAATCAACATGACAACAACCTGGTTCACTAGGCAAGAGTTATATAAAACTCATTTTTAATAGTTGGCCCAAAATACTTGCTTTCGAGATAATTATATCAATTAATTTTATATATTTCTATTTTTAAAATCAAAAGCTATTTTGGTGCCTAATACTTTGCTCCTGAAGCTTCTGTCTTTGCTTCCCACTACTCAGAATCACACACGTATTCTTTCTTTTCTCTTTCATTCTCTCTCTCCCTGCTGCTCCTTCCTTAAACACACACACATACACCCTCACACAAAGTAGCTTGATACCACTTAATAAGGATAGAGGTGTATGTGTTTTGGGGGTGTCAAACAGCTGTCACAAACTGTCACCTCCAGAAGAGAAACCTTGGCACACAACAAATTAAACTATACTTCTTTTTTAGCTGTCATTATTCATAGCCAATAAGTTGAAATGTTCTCAACATTTCATGTGCAAATAAAACCACGAGGAAGCCAGTAGATCAGAATAGTGGGCCAGCAGATAAAAAAGAGAAAACAACACGCTGTCTCGGTCCTTCTGAAGTGGCTCATCATCACCCCTGCACCAGCATGCACCAAATGAGATCCAGCCTGGGGCAATGTATTAAATATGCATATCAAAGCAAATGAAAAAGTAAACCTGGAGATTCAAATTGGATACATTTACATGCTGAAAATGTCCCACTCATACCACTTTTCAGGTAGTGGGTCTGAGGAGGTATGTTCACTTTTTTGTGGCTGGGGGGAGTGAGGAAGGAGGAATAGCCTGCAGAAGAGGCTGAACATAAGAGGATCCCTCTGTAGGGGGAGACTTGGGAAATACATTCCATACACTGATGGTGCCAAAGTACCAAAAAGGGTAAAAAAAACTCTCCAAGGTGTCCTCTCATCTCCTACATAAAATTCAAATCTGTGGCAAACTTCACCATTTCCCACTCGGATTGCTGGTGGAACAAATTATTGCTTCCTTTGCAAATAGCAGGGGGGCTAGAGTAAAAATGTTATAGTTCAGACTCTAGGAAATAAAAGGCTTTAAATTATGATGCCCAATGAGGTGGGAAGCCCTCATGGGTTCAAAATAAATCAGTTGTCATATTTACTTGATTGGGGGCCTCTAAGAGAGGCAACAAATGTTACAGTTGATTCTTTTATTTAAAGATGATGACTGTTGCATTATTAAAGCACTATCTTCTGAGGTATAACTTCTTTCCTGAGTATAATTTAATATTCCAAATAGTACCATAAACTGGCATTGTTGATCAGCCAATTCTATAAACAGCCTGGTTTATCCTATCTCTTCTACATAAACATCAGCATGCTCTAGTTCCATATATCCACTTGAAAAAAAATTCCAAGAAACTATTCTAGAAAACCAAGTAGTCAAGACCCCTAGAAATGACATGAGAAAAGCTTTTGCTGCAGAAAACTGTGAACTTTTCATCCTACAAACCATGTAATTAGATGCCTTCCCAGTCCCCCCAATAGTGCAAAATGCCCATGAATTCAGAAACAGGAAGCAATGAAAATAAACAAGTAAATGACAACAACAAATACTTTGAAGGCAGTGTCATGTCTTGCCGACCACAACCACACAGCATATAGCCACATATCAGCAAATTAACTTTCCATAGCTGCTTGTTGCACCCGTTTGATTCCAGTGAATACACTTAATACACAAAAGAGCTCCCCAACATTTCCCTCCCAGAGTGATGGAAAAAGCCAAGAGTAAAGACAGGCATGGAGCTTTCAACACCACAGTATTTATTCTGTCTCCGAACTGGACTTCGGGACTGACGTTTTCTTTCTTTTTTTTTTTAAATTAAAACTTTTGTCCTTAGGCTATATGGCTTTCCATAGAGCACAAAGGCTACTCATTAAAATCTGTGACTGTATATTTTCAAAACTTTTGGAGAAGGAGGGGGAGAAACTTATTCTCAAGGCATCTCAACTCATTCCTCTTACCACCTAGGAGTGGGGGGTGATGGTGGTGATACAAACTACCTTCAAGCCTCGACGCCCATTTAACTCCACAGAGTGCTAAATTAATATTTCGGCCATCAAGTTATTAGACTATAGCCTGTATCATTTAGGTTGTGAGTTCAACTGACTATAATCTAGGGACACCCTGTCCCCCCACCCCCAGCCTTGAGTTCCTATAAATAAACTGCTGTTCACACCCACTCTTTAACCTCGCCACTCTTGCCTTTCCTACCAGCTGCAATCTTTCTTCTCTTTGCTTCTTTTTCAAATTTTCAGTCTCACTACATATGCTTTTTTTTTTTTTTCTAAAGCATCAGACTCACTAGATCAGTTCCAAAATAGGATTAAAAACAGACAGAATAGAAAGAAATCTCCGTTCCTGGCCTGACACACACGGGTCCCTCCTTACTATACTCTCCGTTTTCATTCACCAACTCTTTCAGTGTTAAAATTCAACCACTAACCTATGTTTACTCAATCACAATTCCCTTCAGCTTTCTGTAATACATTGTTAATATTTGTTTCATCAAGGTTACTGTCTTTTATTACCAAGATGCTTCAGGCACTTGGCAGTAAGTTCATACACTGACAATAAGTTTCTATACAGCATAAGCTCAGAAAACTAGAATGGGTTCACTCTTTTTATTTCAAATGCAATGCAAGATTGACAATAATTCTCAGAATTGCCATCTCTGCGAGAGACTGAGAAATCAGTCCTTGCTCCCCAATTCTCTCCCATCCTGTCCAGTTAACTCTCCTGCCTCCTTCTCTCCCTGCTGCTCTGATTACAGAGTTGAGAAAACAGAAAAGGCAGCGGTCACCGTATCAAGCAGACAATTTGCTAACACTCAAGTTACCAAATCCAGGAAACTTTACACATTAGAAGCACAAATCACTCTATCAACTTGCTGGGTTTTTTTCTTCTCAACATAAATAAGGAAGGGGTCCAAGAAAAGGGAAATACAGATGAAAGGTGTGGAAGAGGTAGTGAGAAAGGGAGGAAGACAGTCCCAGAGAGACCAGATTTTTTATTTTAAAAAAGAAAACTCAGTCAGTGGAGCTAGAGGTTACAACAAAATTTTCAAAACTGCTGTGCCCAGTGGTCTTAAAAGAATGCCAAAAGCTCACAGACTTACATGGTCAGCGAGATTTGTGGAGGAGCCTGAAAGTTCTTCGTGATCCGACTTGGAGCTGCCGTCTCTTTCATCAATGACGAGGTCTATAGGCATCTTCCCCTTCAAACAGCTAATGTACCGGTGGCAGAAGTTATCACACAGTTCATGGACCTAGAAGGAGGGTCATGGTGAAGGGTTCAGCTTGTATTGTTGTTGTTGTTCTCATGGTTTTGTTTCATTATTTTAAGGGGAAAAAAATATCAGGTTGCAAAGTTACATTTGGAAAGAGCAACAGTGCCATGGCTTCCAAACTAACTCTAATTAATGGGTGTAATAGTTGAAGGCAAGGAAACAATAGAGCAATTGTAGTAGCAGATATTATTCTCCAGAGACTTCCCTGAGCAACAAGTTACAATAAAGGGAACAGAAACAGGACTGGAAATAACTGGGTTCAGGCTGGGACTCCTTGGGGGGAAAATCTGATTTGATGATAACATCAAAACGTAAGGACTCAGGAACTGGGAACAGCATTAGCATTTGCGATTCAATAAGCTAGGAATTTTGTATGTTTCCAGGAGAAAATGATTGAGCTGCAAGAGCAAGGTAAAGACACCCTGGCCAGAATGATTCCCTCTGCTAGCACCTAATGCCTGCCCTGGGCCTAATAGAGACGCAAGCAGGCTGAATGTCCAGTAACACAAATGGTTTGCTGCATTTCAAAATAATCCTGAATGCCTGGGGAAAAAAGGGGGGGGGGGGAGGCGGCTACTTTAAAAGGCAGGGCTGTCTTAATTCACCCATCCTCCGAGCCCCTGGGTTTGAACAGCAATTTGAGGGAAGGACAAGATAACAAGTTGCTCAAAATCTCTCCAGGTGCTCAGACTGGAGGTTTGTTAAAAACACTCCCAACTCCACCAGGAGAGGGAAGTGACTAAATCAAAGTGGGGAGTGTCGTTTCCTGCTTACCTTTTCTAACTCCAAAAGGTGAAACCTTAGTACTTGTATTGCTTGTATCATCTGGAAGAAAAGTTTTTAGAGTATGGAGTTAAGGCTCTGTGACTGCTGCCACTCTGAGATTCCTAGTTGGGGGATGGTGAGGGGATTGGGTTGGGAAGAAGACGCAGGCAAGTGGCCAGGCAAAACCCACACATCAAGAAATCGTCAGGAAAACCAAGTGATTACTGATCATCTCGCCTCATTGGCTACGGGGTGGGAATCTGACTCAACCTATGCCAAGGCATTTAGTATCTTTGCCCCTCACGTGTACTGAACTATCTGCAAAGGCTGCCTTCCTAAGAGCAGGCCTTCTTTCTCTTCCGAGTCCTCTTTAACTGTCCCCTCTCTCGACCTCAGGCCAACTTAAAAAAAAAAAAAGAAGAAGAAGAAGAAGAAAAAGAAGAGAGAAAGAAAGGAAGAGGGAAAAAAGTCGTTTCTCTAGAGAGAGCAAGCTTTTTAGAACAGCACACCCTGCGAAATCCCTCCTTACTAAAGAAGGAAATACTCCAGATGAATGGCGAGGCAGGGCCTTTGAAAGCGGATTTAAGTACTTTTAATATTGAAATTGTGCAAATTAGCAAAAGAATCGCACCTAAAAGTGGCCTGCGCTGGCCTGCCCCTCGGCCCCCCCTCCCCGCCCACCTCCCGGCCCGCCCTCCGCCGCGCAGGCGGTTACTTCCTTCGGGTAAGCTGCCCCGGGCTCGGCCGCTGCCCCGGCAAACAGAGGAAATAACTCACTTCTCGTCGCCTAGCTCCCGGGGCCGAGACCTGGGGCGCATCCCCTGCTCTCGCGCTCGGCGCCGCGTCCCCGCTCGCTGCCTCCCCGGGGCTCCGCGCGCCCTGACGTCCAACCCGCCCCTCACTGCCAGCTCCCCGGCGGGGGCTCTAAGCTGTTCCCTTCCTCCCGGTCGCTCTGGAGCTTCAAAAAGAGGGCTCTGCTTAAACTCCCCAGAGCTCCGTGGGGGAAAAGCGGGTGCTTCTGGGCAGGGGAGGGGGCCCAGGTTGGGGATAGGCGAGCCATAGTGAGCCTTACCAAATTGTCCAGCTCTGGATTTGAGGAAAAAAGTGGCTTTTCGGCGCGAACCTATAGGAAGCAGGGGAAAGTCAGCATGAATTATCACTCCATTTTAAAAGAAGAAAAACCCCTGTCACCGACTAAACTGTCGTGTGCGAGTGGGATGGCGGAGGGGCAGTGGCGGAGAAAAGAGGCGCTTTGGTAAAATACATGGAAAAAAAAAAAACCCAGGAAGGACGGTTGAAAAGGAATCTGGACCTTCGGATCCTGGCCCCATGAAGGGGTACCTGGAACCACCGAGCTGGAGCCGAGATCTCAGGGCGGTTCTCTGGGCCCGGGTACCCGCTTATCCTGCCGTCCACGGGGCTGTGTTTTGCAGCCTCCCTCACCTCCGCGCCGGCGCCGACAGCCCCGAGAGGCGCCCAGCTTCCTTCCCTCCCGGGCACTCTCGGGGGCCCTCAAAGCCCCTATCCCCAATTCTTGTTCAAGTAGCTGCAGGCGGGGGAAAAGGCCAAGCCCCAGATTAGGAGCAGGTCAACTTTAATTCGAGGGTCGAGCCCCTGTATTCCTGGCTGGGGGGAAAACAAACACCCATATTTATCTCCTCTTCCAATTCGCCTCCAGGCTCAAGGATGGGGAGGAGGCGCAGAGCGCGGACTGGGCCGGAGGGACAGATCGGGTGTCCCAGCCTCTTCCTCCTCTTTCAAGTAAAGCTCGAGGAAAGGGGAGGGGGGAGTGAGGGGCTGCAGGAGGGCTAGTGGGTCAAGAAGGTTGGACCTGCTTGGCGAAGACCGCGATGTCCTCGTTGAAAGAGTCGGAGGAGCAGACGTCTCCGCCGGCCACTCCGGGTTCCCGCGGAGTGCAGGTCGCCAGCTCGCACTTCTCAAAGACCAGAGCTAACAGAGGAAACAACGGGTGCCTAACGGGCAGCGCCACGCAGAGACACACACACGGAGACGGGTGCAGAGGGGAAGGAGCAAGAACTGTAATCAACAAGTTTGGAGGGTTCGGATTCCTTCCTTACCACCACAGACACGCATCACACTTTACAACCCTTCCTTCAGGCAGCAGAGCCTGGGCCAGAAACAGAAAGGAGGAACGGCCAGGCCCAGCTCAGGACTCCCTTACATGTGGTGGGAGAAGCCCCTGGCCACTTTAGCCCTCCGAGCATAAACAGCCTCGGTTCCAACGTAAGGAAGCATCCAATAAGCTGAGGCAGTCTGGAGCCCGGAATTGAACCAGACCCACTCCCCACTCTACAGAGGCCGTCCAACCAACCCCTGAGACCCAGCCCTGACCTCCCAAGAGAGGAACAGGCGGTGAAATCCAAGATTGCTTTAACTTGTGCATAGAAGAAGTCATAGGAGGCCCACGGTTCATCTACAACCGCCGCCTCCCTCACCAGTGATGTTTCCTCAATCTAACCTCTCCACCCCCTCGCCTTATGAACTTCTTTGGTCCCCTTCTAGTAAAAGCCTGGATGTGGGGACCAGTTACACGCGGTACACGCGGAAGAGCTTCCTTCCCAAGACCACATTTCTCCAGCAGGCAAAAATAAATAAATCGAGTGTTAAAACTTGGAAGTGTGCGTGCGCGTCTGCCCTTTGTGTTCCTCCGGGCGGTTTAGCTACACTTTGGGATGCAGGCGGCCTCTTGCTTCAGGCACAGTTGCTGTTTACTGACTGTCCCCTCCCCTCCGCATCCCACAGCCTTCCCTCACCTACCCTCCGCTGGGACAGCCCGAGTGGTACTTGCTGGGGCCGTGCAACCCCAGCCCTCCCTGAGTTTTCTCAGAATTTAAAATAATTTCCAGCCATCTCCCTCACTCCCCTCAAGAGCGGCTCTGTGCAAGCAGCAGTCCCTTCCACCCCGCTGCACTTCAAGGTCTGCCCCCTTTATTTACAGAGAATTAAGAAGAGGGTGATTAGGACTTCCTGGCCGACCGAAGCAGCCCTGATCCCAGCTCAAGCTGCATTTAGTGACTCCCGGACTCTCGATAGGAAACAGAAAAGAAAAAAAAAAAAAAGTTGCTCCTCATGGGCAGGAAACTTTCTCCTTCGTCAGGGCCTCTGTTAGGGGGCCCAGCTCTGCGTCCTTTGGCCAGGAATCCCGTCCTTGGGGAGAAGGCCCTGGCCAGATTGTGAGGACTCAGTCACTCCCGGCTATGGGGTCCAGAGTGGCGGGGCCTTGGGGGCAGACGGAGCCAAATCTTCCCGGGACTCACAGTCAAGGGGCAGAAGAGCAACGACCCCCCTCCGCCCCCCGCACGGTCCTTTCCTAAGGCAAGCGGTTCTCGCCCCCCACCCTAAGGAGCAATGACCCCCCACTTCGTCGGCCACCCCCTCACCCCCACAGAGACAAACACGCACTCGCTCTCACACCGTCCGCTGGGTCGGGAGGGGGTGGGGGCTGGTTTACCCATAGATCGCGTCCTTGTCCCGCTTCAAGGCGTCGTTGACAGCGGATCCCATACTGGCCGGCATGACATTGGGGTGCGGGGCGTGAGCGCCGTAGTGCTGCGTGGCGTGAAGCGGCGGCCCGTGGTTCAGGTGGTGAACCGGGGGGATCGGCCGCGGCGCGTGGGGGTCTCCGTACATGGAAGCAGGCACCCCTACTCCGTCCATCCCGCCGTAATGGGGTAGCTCATCGTACTGTCAGGACCCGGCAGAGGGGCGGGGGGCGCGGGAGGTGAGGGAGAGCCGGGAGAGCCGAGGCAGGAGAGGAAAAGAGGCAGGGAGAAGAGAGCGAGCGAAGAAGTGGGGAAGGAATAGCGAGACGAGAGGGGGAGAAAGCCGAGGGAAGAAGCGAGAGGAGGAGGGGGCGGGAGGGGGAGGCAGGAGAAAAAGAGAGAGGAAAATACAAATAAAAACAAAGTCAGAAAGAAGTACCCAGCACGACTTGAACACACAGAAACCAAATCAGCCGAAACAACGGAGTTGAAAGTTGGGAGGGTGGGTGTTTTTAAATTTAAAAAAAAAAGAAAGAAAGAAAAAGTATGAACCCAGAGCAGCGTTGAGAGAGGGGAGAGGGGGCGGTGAGGCCCGGGACCGAGGGGCGCCGGGAGGTCCCGCTCGGGCCGGAGGCAGCAGAACCGTAGCGAGCCAACCGAGGGAGAAGTGGAGTTAGTGAGAGGAGGAAGCCCGGGTTCCCACCCCTAGCCCCCCTTCGTCTCCTCCAGAGGATCCAATAAATCAAAAGGCGAAATGAAACAAAATAAAGAGAAGAAAAACGCTAATAATCAGGACGAGAACGCCGAGGACGAGGGAAGACTGGGGCCAGTGCCTCCCCGGGGGCAGGGAGCTGCCCGCCCCGAGCCGCGGGAGCAGCGGCGGCAGCGGCGCAGCAGCGGCAGCGGCGGCAGCAGGAGAACCGGGGGAATCGCGCTGCTGGGGTAAAAGCTGGAGCGAGGCGAAAGCGTGTAACAATTGCACTCGCACACACACACACACCACTCACACGCACTCGCCGCCCGCCCGCTCGCACAGCGCTGAAACACGCGCGCCCAGACACGCACACACGCACGCACACACACTCGCACACACGCAGAGGCACGGGGGGGAAAAGAAGCCGATGAATAATTTTGCTGCTATTTTTTTAAATACTGGCCGCCATCATCAAGCAGCGAGCAGCAGCAGCGTTGAAGGGAGAGGAGGCATCGGGACAGGCCCCTCTTAGGAGAGGATTTATATCTAGGTAAGTGTTGGAGATTTAAACCTACCCTTTGCGCCATCAGTCTGCGCTCCAATAAACTCCTGGATGTGTCGTATATTTAATATCCCAGTCCGGATAAGAAAGTGATCTAGGCTGAAGATTCCTGTTTTTTTTTTTTTTTTTTTCCAAACCAAGGAGACTTCTCCCAATTTTCCAATGTTATTTTTAGGGGGGAAAAAAAAAGCCCAGGCAAGACAACGAAGAGTTTTTTTTTTTTTTTTCCTGTGATATTTCTTCTTTTTCTCTTTTTTCCTCTTCTTCCTCCTCCTCCTGATCTTCCTCCTCCTCCTCCACCTCCTCCTCCTCCCCCCTCCCCTCCTCCTCCTCTTCGGTCCTCCTTTCCCCCTCTTTCTCTTCTCTTCCCCTCAGTTGGAAAAAAAAAAAAAAAAGAAAAAAGAAAAAGAAGAAGAAAAAGAAGAAAAAAAAAAATTGTCAAGCCCCCGAACTGAAGGTTACGAGCGGCCCGTCAGCAGCCCACATGTAACCGAACTGTCGTGTTTCATGGCTTTTTGCCACTCCAGCTGTCAATCAAAGCCCGGAATGTCAAGGTAGTGAATGAATGATGGTTGATGATGATGAAGAGGAGGAATCTTTCAGACCCGTTTTTTTCTTCCAGTAAAACTCCGCGAGGGGTTTCTGCTTCTTGTATTTTTTCCTCCCCCTCCCCCCTCTTTTAGCTTTGCCCCCGCTGTATCTATAATATGATCCTCTCTCTTTAAAGTATCGTTCAAAGAAAGCAGGAGGGGAAAAATCAAGAAAAAAAACGAATAGTTTGCAAAAATTGGACTTCCTCCCCCCCTTTCCTGGTAGGTATTTTGTCTCTCCCTCTCTCTCTTTCTCGCTCGCTCGCTCGCTCTCACTCGCGCTCGCTCTCTCGCGCTCGCTCTCTCTCGCTCTCTTTCTCTCTCTGGGAGATGAGTGAGTGTCAGTAGGTGTTGGCAGGTTGGCTGCTGCCTGGCTTATAGAAGAGCCTCAGTTTGGCGGCGCGGGTCGGCGGCGGGAGAACGAAATGACGGAACCCGGAAGTCGTGGTGGCCATAGCCCGTCGTACGGCGGAGACACATCCCGGGAGTGGGGAGCGGGAGCGAGGAGGAGCGCGCCGCGCGGAGCCTCTGATATGCAGCGAGTGCGATCGGACGTAAGGGGGAGGGGAGGCAGGAGCCCGGCAGACCCGAGCAAATCAGCGCGGCTGCTCCTCCGCGGGGACGGCGCGGGGGGAGGGGGGAGGGAGGAAGAGGAGTGTGTGTGTGTGTGTGTGTGTGTGTGTGTGTGTGCGCGTTTGTGTGTGTGAGCCTGTGTGTGCGCGCGCGCGCGCGCACGTGAGGAAAGAGGGAGGGAAAGAGAGAATGAGAATGAAGAAGACAGGGAGAGCGCAGAGAGGAAAACTGCAGAAAGCCACAGGGAAAGTACGGTACAGCTTCAGATTTTTCATTTTTTTCTTTAAAACTTCTAGTTCATTTCCCCATCACTCCCGGCTCCTCCCTAACGGGGTCGTGTCGGGGACGTTTGGCATGGCGCTCCTGCTTTTGTTCCTTTTAATTCCGCGGCCCCCTACTCCTCTACCAGCCGACTGTCGCTCCCCGAAGGCTTTCAGCTAACACTCAGAGGCAGCAGGATCTGCAGACCGTACCAACGCCCGGCTAGAGTTTTGTTTTTGTTTTTAAGTGGTACTTTCTTCCTTGTGCAGAGCCAGGACCCTTGTTGTCAACATTCATTTTTCACTAGGACAAGAAGAAACCAGCTTAACTCAGAGAGCACTCCCTCCAAGCTGTGCGGACGAGGGCCACCACGGAGAGTCTTTGGGGGCCGCAGTGCAATCAGGAGGGAGGAAGTGGGGAGAGAGTCGTTTGGGAACTTGATGTTGTCTGATGTTGCCAACGGGTGTGTGTGTGTGTGTGTGTGTGTGTGTGTGTGTGTGTACACGCGCGCGCGACTCGTGTGCGACTCCGAAGTGTGTCTCACTTAGAGCTGGGAAGCATGGGAGCGAGCGGGAGAGAGTAGGGGAGAGAGAAAGAGAAAAGAGATGCCTAGCGTGGAGGACTGGCCCGCACTCCCGGACCAGCTTTGTTGCGGTCGCCCGGGGCACCGAGGCCAGGGCGCGGTACCGCTGGCTAATGGCTGTGTTAATTACATCGGGCAATTTAGGGCGATCTGGAAGATGGGGCCAATTCCGAATGAACTTTTCCGAAAATGAAAAGAATCAGAGTGTGGGGGGAAAGGTAGCTATCCCACACGGTCTGCGTAGAAAGTAGTTCTAGCCGGTGTCTCTCCGAATCCCTGGCTGGAGCTGCTCCCAGCCTCACCTCCGCGCCGCGGGTATCCCGGCGGCAGCGTGTCAATCACTGGGAGCCCGGAGCTGGGGGCGGAGCTACGGTCTCCCCGCGCGCTCCGCTCTGCATCCCCCGCCGTCCCCTGGCTCCAGGCAGCCCAGCAGCCAGGCCCTGCGCTCGGAGCGCGCCCTCTCTCCCCAACTCCTCGCTCTCGCCGTGGTTCATGGTCTGTTCATTGAAAACAGACTGTTCCTCAACAGCTGCCTCCTTCTCCAACTTTGAACCCATTCTGGAGAATAGAAAGTAGCGTATCCTCTGCGCTGGGCTTGGACCGACTTCCCGAGAGATGGAGGGGGGGGAGGGGAGAGGAGCACAAGGAGAATAAAGGAATAAAGTAGTGTGTGTGTCAGACAAGAGAGAGGAAATGAGAATGAGAATATGAGAGAGAGTGAGAAAACGCTGATAGGCTTTTCTTTTCTTTCTTTCTTTTTTTTTAAGCCCCCCTTTTATCTTCTCTGCTTCACTGTAAGCTTTCGGGCAACTCGAACTGCGCTTAGATAGCAGCCTGCAGAGACTTCAAGCGGAGTCGGAGAAATTTGGCTGGGTTTTAATAGGGTTGGGGAATGAGCTCGGGAGGTCAATAAAGCCCTCCAAAAATGATGAATGATTGAGCACCTGTGATGATGATAGTGATTACCGGAGCAATTAAACAGTTTGATTAAATGAGCCATCATAACAATGATGTCTGCGGGAAATAGGCCCTCACATATAAAAGAAAGATAGTGCGGAGGGACCTGCAGAGGCGAGGGTAGGGCGACGTCAGGGAGTAGGGCTGTGGATCGCGCAGTATTTGCCCGGGGTGGCCGGAGCAAGGACAGCCGGGCGCGCGGAGCCTCGGGATGAGAGTCTAGCCCAGGTTTTCAGTAACTCGTAAGCCAGGCTTCAAGCCGGCAAGAGCCGACTGGTGAGAAACCTGAATGTTGGGAGGCGGGTCCTTCCCCATCCACCTCATTTTTTCTTCCCAGAAGAACTCCAAGATTAAAAGCATCCTTCGTATTTGTTGCTGAGTTGCTCATGGACATATAAGGAAAGGTGAGTAAAAAAAAAAAAAAAGATGCAAAAGAGAAGAAAAAGTTGACTTCCAGAATTTTATTAACAAGAGGTAGTTGTTCGAATTCGGTTAACCCGAGGCGGGAGGATGACCGAGAGAGAAAAAAATCAAACTGGTCTCGCTACGGAGCATTTTCGACTTAGCAGAGGTCTTTATGTTGGTGGATCCACGGTCCCAGTGCAGCACCGCTAGCTGAGAAGTTTGTACTCAGTTTTCAAGTTTTTAGCTCTTCTAACTGTTCCTGTTATCAATATTGCATATTTGTCGCCAATAGGGTTCTTATTGTTTTAAGTGTCCTATATAGTAAGCAATAGGCGCCAATTACTTTTCTTTTTTGAAGGATCTCAGTTTCCTTGAAAATGTTTCTTTTGTAAAAATCAACTTGGAACCGAACCTCTGCATCGCAGTTTAAACATTCGAAGTTGCTATCTTCTACTTCTCTTACATTACTTTTTAAAAAATTGATATTGTGAAGTGAGTAGCATTCCTACAGCCTTTATTTAGAAAAATTACACGAAGATTTTTTACAAAGTGTTTCTTCCACGGCAGTGCATCGGAGTAAAAACAATTCAGACCAATTGATGATTTCTATATTTTCAAACAGTTGTTAAGCTAATAATGGGTTGATTATTCCGTTATCATCTTGAGCTTTACAAAAGAAAAAAGTTTGAATTCTGTTTTCATGTATTTTCATCCTTTGGGCGATGCAGAAGGCATTTTAATCTGAACTTCTTTCTTCCTTTCTCTCCCTGTCTCTCTCTGTTGCTCTGATATTCTGTAACTACTTTTGAATTTTATTGAATACATTAAAGCAAGTAATTAGGACAATCTGGTTAGAGGTGGGAGGGAGAGAGAAATAGAACATTTTGAGATACTGTTAAGGGAAAAAACCAGCCAATCATCCTTAACTCCAAAGACTTTAGTTAAGAAGTGTGAGAATGTTAAAAGTGAAGTCCTCCAGGAGGAAAATCTGTGTCATTTAAAATTTCACCAGTTTCTTAGAGGGAGAATCCCGAATTTCATGCGACTAAAGAGATTTCACTTACCTAGTTGCACGTAATTATGAAACTGTTAGTTTAAAATAGCATCGCAGTGCAGTCAATTACACACAAGATCAAGTTGGAGGTGATTCACGATGTCCATTCTTGGTCAATCTGATGAATTCAAAGGACGATTACTTTTAATCACCAACTTGCTGATGTTTTATTAATAGAACTGAAGAACATGTAAGAACTTCATGGTCTCCCCTAACTCCTAGTTTTGCAGTCCCATTGAAACTACTCAAAAGCAGTGGAGTACGCAGGCTTTCCGATTTCTAGTCCGGGATAGTATCTTGCTGATGCTCCGTTCTCAGCCTCCGCAACCCTTCCGGGACTTCGAGGCTCATCTGCTCTGCCACGTTTGGGGTAAAGGAAAAGTAGGTGGGGCAGGGCCAGGAGACGGGCGTGAGATGGGGGTCGCAGGAGGCGGCACACACCTCCGTCAATAGTCAGCCCCTTTTGCTCAGGCTGGAAATGGTTTTAACAGGCGGTAAAATTTCATCTTGCGGTGTCAAATTGGGGTCATTTTGGGGTTAGAGTTCTTAGTGTCCGAGAGGAGCTGTCCAGCTGCGTGGGGACTCATTAACTGCAAAAGATCTGTTTCAGTAAAAACAATTCAAAGACAATCAGAAGGCTGAAGACCTTCTACAAATCGCATTTTACAAGCGCCTCAGAACAAATATGGATGCTGAAGTCTATTTCTTCAGAATCCCAAATTGGCTACTGAGCTTTGGAGTGGGGTGGGGGCACTGAATGAAAAAGAAAAAAAAAAGGTGAAGGGAGGGGACCTGATCGGGTGGAGGTGAATGGGAGGGGGAGTTGGGCCTTTCAAACTTAAGGGTCTGTTTTTAATCACCTCTTGCTTATTGGAGCATCCCCAAGACTTCTAGAACTGCTTCTTTTCTACTTTTCCTTCTCTCTCTCACTTTTTGTCTCAACATGGAATGATATTATAGGTAACATTCAAGATGTTAAAAGAATAATTGAATCACTCTACCGTTACTTAATTTAAAGGGCATTGGATTTATGGAGAGTAATTTGAAATGAGCATCTATGAACCTAGACTCTATTTTGGGTGAATTTGCCCACCTTCCTGTAGGAACTTATGTGTCTTTTCCTCCTTTTTCCCCCTATAAAGTTATAGGTCCTCAGCACAGAAAACTCCAAATTCCTCAGAACTGTAACGTCTGAAGTGTTAATTTGTGTATTAAAATCACTGGGCTTAAAACCTTTTTGTCTTCTTACAACAGTTAGAACAATTGGCACCTTGCTAGAGGAACAAATAGATCCACCCTTAATCTTATTTGTAACTTTAGTTAATGTTTTGAATTGGAGTATTTTGGATTAAGCAGGGTTTGGGTTTTTTTCCTTTATTTTATTTCCTCTATAAGGTTAATTTTTATTTGTGGAGGCTCTCTTGGCTGGTTTGGGAGGAAGATATTATTACTTTAATTCAAAAAATTCCTTTAGGTAAAAGGAGAGTGCCATTTTAAAATGAGAAGCTAGATGTGAGATGCTTGGGCTTTTAGAATAAAACTAAATCAATATTTTGAGTAAATTATGGTTTGAAAGAAGTTTTCTTGCATTACTGACCTGAGCAAGTAAATAGGATCCGAATATTTTATTCTTCCTCTCTCTCTCTCCCTGAACTGCACCTCCGTCACTAGGTCTTCTCTCTCCATCTGCTTCACTGTTCTTTG